GGCCACGTGGGCACAGTGCTGGCTCATGTGTCGCTTGGGCAAAGCTCATTTGCTGATCTTAATTGCTAGGATGTGTTTCAAAAGAATTAACTTTCCATCCCTCCGTATGTGCGTGCACTTTTCAACAGGATGTCAGTTCTCATCGATCCCCTGCCTCGTGACTGCGCCACCTTCCTTCCTTAGGTTTGGGTGTGTGAAGCTGTAGTAGTATTTATATAGAAATGCCTGCTCTGCTGGGGTGTCTCAAAGCATCAGTTACCGTGAGTTCAATAAATACAGAGATGTGCTGTGTTAGGGGAAGGAAAAAAATGGGAAACTCTTTTCTAGGCCAATGGCACACAGTGGAGTAATTTCCTAAACTCCTGTAAGAGGTATTTTCAACAGCAAAGGTTGTGTTGATCTTTTTGGATCACTGTAAAGCTTACAGATGCATATGTAATATTCTAAAATAGGATTGATTGTCATATCTTAAAGGGAATTGCCTTGAAACATCAAATACCCTTGTGATAATGTCCTATGGTGTGATACCATTGGAAGATGTATTTGCAATGCTGCTTTTGCAGTAGTCCTTTTTGGTAGCCTGTGTAACCTGTAAAAATAGTAATCTCAAAGTAATTTGGTAGTAAAATCTTTGTATGATGATTTAAAACTCCAGAAGATGTCCTTGCCTTACAGGCCAGGCCAAACAGCTGAACCCAAATATTTGGGTTGCTGCTGCAATGAGGAAACCCATTGAAAGCAGTGGCTCAGGGGATCCTCCGCTTAGATCAACTGAACAGTCGTGCCCTAACTTTCTGTAATATTCAAATCACTGTCCTGAACGCAGCTTCAGATGGGTTTTCAGAAGTTACAGGCACAGTGACCTGTGGAAATAGCGCGGGTTGTGTTGTTTCTCGTGGAATGAGGAACATCACAGAGCGTTTGTCATGTCACGCTCCTCCCAGGAAGATGTAACTGGGAACTTTCTCCTCCGTGACTGTCCAACACTGACAGGAAATATGAGAACTTGTGTGTTGTGGTTTGTTAAAAAATGTAAATTTATGTTCAGAATTGTTTGTCAGCCTCTTAGAAAATTGTAAGTAATTAAATAGAAAGTTCCACAGATTTGTGCCATTTCTGTACCCTCTCATCTCAAGATGGTGTGAGAAGCAGACAATTGTAGTAACTTGCTGCTACTCCTTTCCAGCTTAATTTGATCTTGTTCCTTAATTCTGACAGATTGTTTTTAATTTTCCCATCTGTTCCATAAAAATCTCGAGTGATTGACTCGTAGGAAAAAATAATGTCTAATAGCTGAGCCATTTTTAATGAGTTGGTATGAGTTATTTAATGAGACGTGCTGAGGAAGGCAAGCCAAGTTAAGGCTTCGGCCTGGGATGGTGGATGTAAAGAAAGGTAAAGGGCAACTTTATGCTCTGTGAAGTCTCTTCTCTTTAACATCAGCTTTGTACTGCTGCTGTGTCCAGTCCCAGGCAGTGCAGATCCTTAGACCCACAAACAAATAACAAAGGTTCACAGACTCACAGAATCCCAGACCGTCAGGGATTGGAAGGGACCTCCAAAGCTCATCCAGTCCAATCCCCCTGCCGGAGCAGGAACACCCAGATGAGGTTACACAGGAAGGCGTCCAGGCGGGTTTTGAATGTCTGCAGAGAAGGAGACTCCACAACCTCTCTGGGCAGCCTGGGCCAGGGCTCTGTCACCCTCACTGAGAAGAAGTTTCTTCTCCAATTGAAGTGGACCCTCCTGTGTTCCAGTTTGTGTCCGTTACCCCTTGTCCTATCATTGTTTGTCACCGAGAAGAGCCTGGCTCCATCCTCGTGACACTCACCCTTTAAATATTTATAACCATGAATGAGGTCTCCCCTCAGTCTCCTCTTCTCCAAGCTAAAGAGCCCCAGCTCCCTCAGCCGCTCCTCAGAAGGGAGATGCTCCACTCCCTCCATCATCTTTGTAGCCCTACGCTGGACTCTCTCCAGCAGTTCCTGTCCTTCTTGAACTGAGGGGCCCAGAACTGGACGCAATATTCCAGATGCGGTCTCACCAAAGCATTAAAAGGTTCAGCATTAAAAGTTTCAGCAGCAGTAATTCCTGTCAACCTTTTATTTAGTGCAACGTCTGCCTTCAGACAATGTCGCTTCGGAGAGAGGAACAGTCACGCAAAGAAAAACCAAACAAAAAAAGATCCAAAAAATAATACTCAAGTAAATTTTAAAACCTTGTAGGCTGTGGTTTAGCTTCATTGCTTCATTCGCAACCTGCACCGTAGCTCCCAGATAGACAGATAGAAGCCCATGGCAGTAAGCAGAGTGAATGTTCTTCTCCAGCCTCTCTGAAGGCTCAAACCTCTGCTTTAAAATTGCCTGCAAATGACATCTCCTGAGGCAGGAAGCCATCAATATGCAGTACGGGTCTTTGAGAATAGCAACCATGACTATAAATGTTAACATCTGGGCTTCTCCCTTCTGTTTTGGTTTTTATATATTACTATAATAAACATTATTTTTAATACTCATCAAATAGCAGTTTCTCTGGCAGCTTGAGACTTCATTATTAAATCAAACAGTGACAATAAATATACAGCTCTTTTACAAGGGAAGTTGAAAGTTTCACTCAACTCTGCAAATCTGCCATTGTTAGCCTAATCTCTTAGAATTCATAGACTAATGAATTAAATTTCCAGCTGCATACAGTGAGGCACAACAAATGAGAGAATGCTACCACGGTAATGAGTAAAAGATACACTTGTTTTTGCAGGTTTTAATGGGCTACCAACTAAGGAGAGAGACTTCTGTCTGCCTTTGTTTTTTTAACTAGTAAAATCTGAGAGTAATTTAAATGAGCAGAGAGCTCCACACTTTCAGAGCATCTCCAAATACTCAGCCTGCCAGGTTTTCCTATTACATGAATTTCAAGCAACCAAGGAGGGTGGGGGAAAAGACTAAAATGTGACTTTTAAAACATTGAATGTGGTAGGAGTTAAAACTGCTTCTAGCTTAAATTTGTATAAAACTGGGCTTAGATGGTGTCTGCTTAAGGCCCAAGGTCAGCAAGTAGCCTCAGATAGGAGTTGCTCTGTGCTGGTATAGAAGTCTCTGGCTCCAAATGACACTGGTGTGCCTGAGAGTCAGACTGTCCTGATCTGGGATGATGGGAAGAAGATGCCCAATGCCAAAACCAGCACATTTTTTTTCCCTTGCTATTACTATCCAGTAGCAATTTTCCTAGAGTTGCACTTTGAGAGAAGGACTTGATTTGAGCTTACTTTGTCTGCATGGCAGGAGACAAAAGTGACTGAATTTTTTGTAAATTCTCACGGGCTTTGGGAGCACAACCCATTATCTGTCCCTCTTGATGGATTTTGGACAAGGCTCTCGTTGCATCGCGGCGTTAGTGATAAATCTATGTATTTATGTAGTTAAAATTAAATTCACAAGGTGTAATTTTAACAGTTCTGCAGTAACGCTTCATAAAGCATTGATCTTTGGTTTCTTTCTCTTCTCCCTCAGTGTGTCAATCCTGATCTTCAACACTTCTCGGCAGTGCTTTGTTGTGGTGAAGCAGTTCCGCCCAGGTAATCCTCTTTTTTCCAGATTTACTTTTGCTCTCTAGCGAAGCAAGCTTTTAAGGGTTTAGCAGTTAAAAGTCGGTGCATATGTGGTGATAAAATCTTTGTTCCCTAGTCTGTTTCTTTGTATGATAGCCCACCCTTTTCAACTGGTCAGAATTTCTAACCAGGGAAATTTCCATTACAGATGAAACGAATGGTGAGGGCAGCCTTACATTCTGCTCTTGGGCTGGTCGCTGTCCTCTTTGGGATGAAATCTTGACCTGTCTGGCATTTAACGGGCAGCTTCTGTGCAGAAGCACAAGATTTCTCTCTTTTTTCAGTCTTAAATATCTCTTATTTCTTAATGTCTTATTGTGTGTTGTATACTTGGGAATTTAAAATGAGGGAGATTCTGCATGCCTTTTCATCAATGTGGAGACAGCTTCCTTTTACTAATTGATGTTATTATGGATTTAGGTTAACATACTATTTTGTAATGAGTTTTTGCGTCAGTTATTTTAATCCAGAGCAGTGTTTACTTTCTGGAAGTTAGAAATGAAATGCGTATTCTCTGCATGTTAATTAACAAAAATCACAAGATATTTCACTGACTGTTGCTAAGAAACCCATTCAAGCCTGCTCATGATAGACTTTAAAGGCAACTTTCTGGGGTGGTGTCATGCTGTCCTTTCTTACTGACAGTGATTGGCAGGCTCTGCAGTGTTGTGCAGTGCTGTTACACTGACAATGCACACTTCTCAGGAAGCACTATATTGACTACTATAAAGTGTTTGTTTATTAGTTTGTCAGTAATCCAATGTCTTTTATTGGCTAGCTGAATAAAATGGCTCATGTAGCGGTTGCTCTCTTTGAGCTCTCAAACCGGTTGCTCTCAACCTCTCTCTCTCATAGGCAGAAGCCTTAATGTGTGTGTGTGTATATATATACACACACATACTGACCAACAACACGTTCACAACGGACACAAGCTGGAACACAGGAGGTTCCACTTCAATTGGAGAAGAAACTTCTTCTCAGTGAGGGTGACAGAGCCCTGGCCCAGGCTGCCCAGAGAGGTTGTGGAGTCTCCTTCTCTGCAGACATTCAAAACCCGCCTGGACGCCTTCCTGTGTAACCTCATCTGGGTGTTCCTGCTCCGGCAGGGGGATTGGACTGGATGAGCTTTGGAGGTCCCTTCCAATCCCTAACGGTCTGGGATTCTGTGATTACACAACTCATATGGAAGTGTCAGATCTGCCTCAAAAGACTGGGCCGTTCTTAGAGTTTGAACTATTTCAGAGGCTGGAGCTTCTCAGCAACCCGGCCCTGGGGACAGTCGTCAGTCAGACACCCCATAGCAGTTCAGTGATCACAACCATGCCCTGACATTACTCATATCACTATAATTATATTTCTCTTCTGTGGTTATTGGTGCCTGTGCCACAAAGCAACCGCGGCTGAGACTTTTCTCATTGCTAGCTGCTATCAGAGTCCCACCAGGAAGGCAAGAGCTCATTACTTGTGAGCAAACAGCTGCCCCTCACTCAGCAGGCATGTCCCCTGCATGTGTGCTGGTTAACACATGCGCTTGCCTTTCCTTGGGGTGTGGTGTCATGATACGCTC